TTCTTTATACTGTAGCTGCCACTCAGGACTGAAAAAAGGCAGGGTTCTAGTTTGCTCTGTTAGTCAATGTTATTTTGTTCTTCAGGTTTTAGGACAGAGAAAGCATTCTTCATTATAAGCTCATAACCATAAGAGGTTTCCACCCCTTTGTTCATTACGTCCTAGAAGACTTGATGCATGGTATGGAAAAAAGCCTGCCATACTAACTAGACAAATGCAAACAGGCCTTTTTCCCCTCTTCAAATGCTATCTCATATATAACTTCTCTAATAATTTTATTATTTTAAGACTCTGAACTCTGTATGTGAATAATACTGTTCTTTACATGTGAGAAAGGTTTTCAAATGGAAACCAAGTTCTTTGTTCTTCCTATAGACAACTGTTGGTTTTTTTTTTTCTGTTATGGAAGTTTCTCTGTTTCCTCCCCAAGTAGTTTGTGACAGAACTATAGGAATACCTGCACAGAGCAGGATGCTTGTAAGTTGGAAGTCCTGAAAAAAATAGTTAAATTAACAAATAGGTGCTCTTTAAAGGTGAACTCTTATGTGGATCAATTGTTTAGGGTTAAGTTTTGGTGAGTTTACTTTGGGACTAGAGGTATTTGACCTTGATACAAAACCAAAATTGATCCTCAGGAAATGCCTGTAGTTAACTGTCAGTTGACAGCACCAGGGATCAGTTTAGAAGTCTTTTAGAGATGGAAAATATTTACCACTGGTGTTACGAAGTGGTTATGGTTGGCAGCTGTGTTCTACAGAATTGATTGCTGTAGAGGAAAGAGATGGCTCTGCCCTCATATTAAATAAAGAAGATAAACATCTTCATCCAATTGTCCAGTAGTTATGTCTGCTCTGAAAGAGTCTCAGTATCCTTAATTTGAGGTCTAAAATAAGCTTCTCTATTTTAATTACTTTTCTCAGAACTCTCTATTCCAGTTGCACTACATCTTTATTATTATTATTTTTAGAGGCTCTTTTTCTGGTTTGCTCTGTGCTCCTTTTCTAGTGATTCTTGACATACAAAATATTCTCACTGTAGTGCTTCTGAGCATTAAATTACGTGGGCTTGTTTTTTGTTGTGTGTGGTTTTCTTTTTTTCTTTTGGGTGATTTTTTTTTTTTTTTTTGCGATTAAGATCAACCTAGAGGGAGCAGTGAAGATGGAAGATGATGGTGAGACAGTTCTGAATACTGAGTTAGTGATCTGGCAGTCAGGCAGTGAAACTGAAAACTAAACCCAAGTTTATAAATGAGAAGGCTGAAGTTTATTTTCCTTTAATGACATTCAAGTTGCCTAAGCCTTGGAAAATACAAGATGGTTTTGTTGTTAAGGTCATGATAAGATCACATGTCAGGCAAATAGAGACTCTGTCACTAAAAGGATGGTTTGATTTTCCACCATCCATTACAATCCAGAAATCTAAGGCCATGTCTCTGTAGGCAGTGAAGTTCCCATTTGCTAGTCCTAGGCATTCACTGTGTTTGTACAGACTGCTAACTGCTGAAGGACCTTGCAGCCACACCAGAGCAGTTCTAATGCTTTTTCTAGGGGGGTGTGTGTGTTCAACAGAATATTTCATACTAGATGCATGTTTTTGTGTATGCATGCACACACAACATGCTGAAGGTAAAAGGACAGTATTATACAGAGCAGCAGAAGGATATGGTAATTATCAAGATAATTCTAATAAGCTTAATATTTAATTACTATACATTGGGAGAAAAAAAAAGCTGAAAAATGTTCATTACCTTGTAAAGGACTTTATAACTTTGTCTTATGTACACTTTTTGCTGTCTCCCACTTTCAGTCTGAACTATCCCTTCTCCATCCCTAAGAGTTTGGGGATAACCAGTAAGGCTATTGAAGGTTTTTTGCATAAACACATCAATGCACGAAAAGGTAATAGAGTGTCAGTAAGTAATAAGTACTTATATGATCTTAATGAGGTTTATAAAGCTTTGTCAGAGATGGATCCCACTGTTCCTGGGGTAGGAGCTGCCAGAATCCAGGTTGATTTCCAGCTTCCACCTGGAGGAAAACAACTTTAAATGCACGATTTGTGGTCTTCAGCACACAGTTGCAAGTAGAGCCCAGAGGCAGATGCACACCTGAGAAGAAACCCTGTGGTGCCCTGAGGCAGACAGATCCCTGGGGAGCAGTCAGTACAGGGACCAGGTCCATCAGGCTAGTCCCAGTGCATGAGAATGAAAACTAGAGCTGAGCTGATCAAAACTCAGATCCTCCAGTGGAGATTTAGGAGCATATTGAGTAGTCAGGTGCTAAATGTGACATTCCTTCATATTGAGGGGATAACCACCAGTTGTGGCAATGGGCCTTTCTTCAGTTTTGTGTAGATGGCCTGTGCAGAGATTGACAGCTCAGAGTCCTTGTGTGAGTAATATGCACAGAGAATTAATTTTTGTGGTGCTATAACAAAAACTTATGTAACAAACTTATGATGCAATTTAGAACGATTTCTTTTACCTTTTTTTTTTTCATGGAATTAGCGTATTTCTGTAATATTTTCATCAGGTTGATGGTCACTAAGCAAAAATCCATCTCCATATTTAGTTGGATTTATACATTTTATGTGGTTATGTTCTGAGAATGCTTACATTTTCCTAGGAAGATGGTTTAGTGTAGTTTTATTCCTTTCCCTCATGAATGTCTCACCTAACCAAAATAGAACATTTATCGCAAGCTTCTGCTTGAGGAGGTAAAGCAAATCTGTATCTTCAAATTGAAACATTTCTGCCACAATAGTTTTAGGTGGTTAAAAAAATATTTCACAGAGACTACTCAAATATTAATTCTCCTAAGGACCTGAAAAGACACATGCTGACAGATCTACTGAGAGACAACAACAACTAAAGGTTTCCTGGAAGGGGAGGAAGCAATCAACCAACCCCAAAATCAAAGTAGGTCACTGAAGAGAAAACATTTTAAATTTTGCATTATTTCAACAGCCTTCTCATAGGGGTGGCTGTCTCTTGGGAAGGCTGGGACCGTTGGCAGGAATAGCAGGATGACAGACTGAAACCTAATGCAGAAGGGATGAGGAGTGCTACAATCTGCTTCGACATGCCTTTTGTGGGAAGAGGAGTAGAATAATGTTCTTGCTCCTTCCTGCCCTCATCCATCCTACTCATTAATCCCAGTGTGCCTTGGCTACCTTTCCCATATCACAGAAGGCAACTTAAGGCTCTTCCAACTAATGCGGCCTGATCAGGAAGAGGAAAACAGAACTTCTTGTCCTTCCCCATACTGTCTTGATTAATTACTGTCTTGAAACTGAATTGTGAATAAATAAGTGGAAAATTAATGCGTAGTTCATATACTCACTAGCTGTCTCTGAGTAACAAAATCCATGTAAAAGAGCAACCACAAGTGAAGGATGAACACTAGTCATAAAATACAAGACCAAGATGTCATGTTAGGGAATGAAAAGTTACTCTACGATTCAATCAATGCAACTTGGAGCTCCTTCCTTCTTTTCCAGAACATTAAAAGCCTCAAAAAGAGATCCAGGGAACTAATATGAAGCACAAAAGGGATGTCAAAAGAGACTTCAAATTCTTGACAAAGTGCCAATCAACACTAGGCAGGGGAGATTAATAGGGCAACCTGCAGGGCAGAATACCTGTTCTCAGTAAACTACAGGAAGAGACATAAATAGCTTAAATGGATAATCCCCCAAAAATTAACACCTACACTTTTGAAGTTACCAGATGAAATGAAAGCAGAGCTATGGAAAAGATGTGCAAAAAATTAATGCTTAAGAACAAATGTGCCTAATGAATGGTTCTATGAATCTAGACAAATAGAGGGAAAACCACACTAATCACTACCAAGGAAAAGATGCATGTTGTTAAATACTGGGAGGAGTAATAGGCAGGGAAGAATATACTTTATAGGTGTGCAAAAGCATTACTGAGCTCTCTTGTATTCTATTTGTGCTGTTACTCATGGGGGGGGAGGGGAAGGCTGTACACCAATTTTATTTATTTCCCTTCAAACAGTAACTGAACTGGTAAGTAATGTGCAAAGACAATGACAAAAGTGAGGAGACTCATCTATCCTAAGAGCACCATTAAGGCTGATATACAAAGATGGTGAAGTCTTCCCAATTTCTGTAGAACTTCATAAAGAGCTATTAAAAAGGGCTGATACAAACACTACAATGCTGGCTATTTACACGTGAAAATAGTTATAAAAATGTTGGCCAAACATAGCCTGAATTAAATAACATACATACAAGGAGGCTACAGAGAAAGACAAAAAAATCCCCAAATGCTCCCCAAAGCTCTAAAGAAAGAAAAATATCTTCCTGAAAAAGGAAGGAAAAGGACAAACAATGACACACAAAAAAAAAAACCAAACCAAACAACAAAACCCCTCAACTAATTCTTAGTATGAAAAGCTAAATTTACCCGAGCACCGACGCTCACCACCCCTGTCCGCCGCCACACACCCTGCCCGTCCGTCTCCACCAGAACCACCACCCCCCCCCCCCCCCCCCCCCGCCATCTCCTTTGTTTAGGCGCCGCGAAATGGCGGCGGTGGAACGCGGGCGGGGCTGGGCGGTGCGGCACCGCGCGGGCGGGAAGCGGCGCTCTCGGCCCTACCGCCCCCATTGGCTGGATTTTGCTGCAGACCCGGGCCCCGCTCCCCCCAAAGACCCCGAGCACCGCAGCGGCGGGGCCCGGAAGCTGGGCCGTGCGCACAGGGACGGAGCTTGTCCCCTTCCCGGGGGTTTGCTCCCGCGGCGCCCAGGCCGGCCGGCAGCAGGGTCGGCCGCCTCCCAGGGCCACAGCAGAGACCGGCATCGCACCGCCCATCCCCTGTCGGAGGCGATGGCGCGAACGTCGATGTCCGCCGGGGGAAGGGCGGGGAGAAGAGCCCGCCCTTGCCCTGCCCCGTCGCAGTCTCCAACCAGGTCGGACTCCTGGCAATATACAGCCGCGCTGGCGCCTGCTCCCGCCACACACCACTTGAGTTGAAAAGAGTGAGGAGTATGTCTGGTCGAGGCAAAGGCGGGAAGGGGCTCGGCAAGGGCGGCGCTAAGCGCCACCGCAAAGTGCTGCGCGACAACATCCAGGGCATCACCAAGCCAGCCATCCGCCGCCTGGCTCGTCGTGGCGGTGTGAAACGCATCTCGGGTCTCATCTACGAGGAGACGCGCGGTGTGCTGAAAGTCTTCCTGGAGAACGTGATCCGTGATGCAGTCACCTACACGGAGCACGCCAAGAGGAAAACGGTCACAGCCATGGATGTGGTGTATGCTTTGAAGCGCCAGGGACGCACTCTCTACGGCTTCGGCGGCTAATACTCCGGTTTTGGACAGGTCACTTTTTCAGAACACAAAGGCTCTTTTCAGAGCCACCCACGCTTTCAAAAGAGGAGCCTGAATCACGTTTCGTGCCTAAGCCTTGTATTTCAGGGCTGCAGCAAAACAACGGTAGCTAGTGGGTGGTGTGGCCTACGCTAAGGGCGGTGGGGGTGGGGTCTTTCTCTGTTCTCATCTCTAGTCCGCGTTCCGTATGGTTCTTTTAATGCTTCCAGTCTCAAGCCAACAAGTGAGCGTGAAATCCGTGGTCTAAATAAATAGCGAGTTTCTGACGGGACTCCCCCTAGGCTCGAGAGAAACATTCCGTTTCCGAAAGATTAGTACGTCTTACATTCCCCTCTCCTTTTCCCCGTTTTCGTCCCCGTCTCCCGCTCTTCCTTTGTAAGGAGAACGGAGGGGACAAGCTGGCGAAAAAAGCCGGAATCCCCGGTCAAGCGCTATTGCGACAGCCGGTCTCCCGCCATCGGCTTCACCGCAGCAGCCTGAAATGGAAGCGCACGAAATGGCGGCGTTGCTCTCCGTTGCCGCCCCCCCCCGCATGGGGGACGGGGTATGGCGGGAAAAAGAAACGAGTAAACGGCTGCAAGCGCCCGTCGCGTCCCATGGGATGCAGCGGAAAGGGACGCCGAGCGAGAACGCTTCCCTGTGCTCTGCTCCTTCGACTGCAGGGCTTCCTGTGCTCTGGAGCATCCCCCCGGCCTCGGCCTGCGCCCGCAGATTATAAACGGGGAATCTCAGAACGTCGACACACGACGATCGGGAGGGGGTTGAGGCCACTATCCCACGCTGAAACTCCCGCCCGGTTATCCCACGATTAACACTGCCTGGAGTACGGGAAATTGCGCTCAGCTTAGGCTGCCTACACCTGCTCCTAATACCAGAGACCCAGCTCTCTTTTGTGGCCATGTGGTGGCTCTTAAAAGAGCCTTTTCGGTTCGGGGGGGTGGGGGCACGACAGGCGCTTCAGGCGCGCTCGCCGCGGATGCGCCGCGCCAGCTGGATGTCCTTGGGCATGATGGTGACGCGCTTGGCGTGGATGGCACACAGGTTGGTGTCCTCGAAAAGCCCCACCAGGTAAGCCTCGCTCGCCTCCTGCAGCGCCATCACGGCCGAGCTCTGGAAGCGCAGGTCGGTCTTGAAGTCCTGCGCGATCTCGCGCACCAGGCGCTGGAAGGGCAGCTTGCGGATCAGCAGCTCCGTCGACTTCTGGTAGCGCCGGATCTCGCGCAGCGCCACCGTGCCGGGACGGTACCGGTGCGGCTTCTTCACGCCGCCAGTGGCAGGCGCGCTCTTGCGGGCAGCTTTGGTGGCCAGCTGCTTGCGGGGCGCCTTCCCGCCCGTCGACTTACGCGCAGTTTGCTTCGTTCGCGCCATTGAGTACTTTAGAAGCCCACTTCCTTTCCCGTATAGTAACTATAAACCTAGCAGATATAAACTGTAACAAAGCGCATAGAGACTCCCTTTTATAGCCAACCTCTGCTTGTTCATTGGCCACTGGAAAGAGTCGAGTTCATTGGGTCAATTTGAAAACCCCGCATTAACCCCTTCTGGGCTGAACCCCTCTCCTCAATATTTGAGTTACAGATTCAGTCCCCTCGTCTTTCGTTTCTTCGAAAACGTCATTATTCTTCTTAATGACTTGATCGTAAGGATAGGATCCCCCCCCACCCCCGTATTTTCTAGGTTTATCAGAAAGCTAATTTTTGCTTACAGGCTTAGTTAGTAAATTCTAATTATGTAAAAGCTCACCACTTATATTCTGACTTTCTACAACATAGAAATACCTATTTCCTGAAGGAATCTAATTATTTACTTGCAATCCAAAACTAGAACTAACATACAATTAGGGTTCTTTTACCTACGAAATTCAAAGCACTCATCATAACATAAAACATGGATGAAGTAAGAACAATTCATAGTGTCAAACATATGACAAAACAAAAATACAACAAAAAATGAAGTAGTAAGAACTCTAGAAATAAAAATTTTATGGAAGAAATCCTTAAAAGTTCATTATGCAATTTACACAAATATGGAGAAAATAAAGGAAAGAGGGATGCCTTGTGTAACGGTTTGGAACTCTGAGCGGCTTCAGTCACCTCAGCGGGTACCCAATAAAAAAACTGCTCCTTATCTACCAATCAGAGATGAGGGGCGTGCCAGACCCGCTATGAATATAAGCCGTGCAGTCGGAGACGTCTCTTGTGCTTTCAGCTTCTAAAGTACTCAATGGCGCGAACGAAGCAAACTGCGCGTAAGTCGACGGGCGGGAAGGCGCCCCGCAAGCAGCTGGCCACCAAAGCTGCCCGCAAGAGCGCGCCTGCCACTGGCGGCGTGAAGAAGCCGCACCGGTACCGTCCCGGCACGGTGGCGCTGCGCGAGATCCGGCGCTACCAGAAGTCGACGGAGCTGCTGATCCGCAAGCTGCCCTTCCAGCGCCTGGTGCGCGAGATCGCGCAGGACTTCAAGACCGACCTGCGCTTCCAGAGCTCGGCCGTGATGGCGCTGCAGGAGGCGAGCGAGGCTTACCTGGTGGGGCTTTTCGAGGACACCAACCTGTGTGCCATCCACGCCAAGCGCGTCACCATCATGCCCAAGGACATCCAGCTGGCGCGGCGCATCCGCGGCGAGCGCGCCTGAAGCGCCTGTCGTGCCCCCACCCCCCCGAACCGAAAAGGCTCTTTTAAGAGCCACCACATGGCCACAAAAGAGAGCTGGGTCTCTGGTATTAGGAGCAGGTGTAGGCAGCCTAAGCTGAGCGCAATTTCCCGTACTCCAGGCAGTGTTAATCGTGGGATAACCGGGCGGGAGTTTCAGCGTGGGATAGTGGCCTCAACCCCCTCCCGATCGTCGTGTGTCGACGTTCTGAGATTCCCCGTTTATAATCTGCGGGCGCAGGCCGAGGCCGGGGGGATGCTCCAGAGCACAGGAAGCCCTGCAGTCGAAGGAGCAGAGCACAGGGAAGCGTTCTCGCTCGGCGTCCCTTTCCGCTGCATCCCATGGGACGCGACGGGCGCTTGCAGCCGTTTACTCGTTTCTTTTTCCCGCCATACCCCGTCCCCCATGCGGGGGGGGGGCGGCAACGGAGAGCAACGCCGCCATTTCGTGCGCTTCCATTTCAGGCTGCTGCGGTGAAGCCGATGGCGGGAGACCGGCTGTCGCAATAGCGCTTGACCGGGGATTCCGGCTTTTTTCGCCAGCTTGTCCCCTCCGTTCTCCTTACAAAGGAAGAGCGGGAGACGGGGACGAAAACGGGGAAAAGGAGAGGGGAATGTAAGACGTACTAATCTTTCGGAAACGGAATGTTTCTCTCGAGCCTAGGGGGAGTCCCGTCAGAAACTCGCTATTTATTTAGACCACGGATTTCACGCTCACTTGTTGGCTTGAGACTGGAAGCATTAAAAGAACCATACGGAACGCGGACTAGAGATGAGAACAGAGAAAGACCCCACCCCCACCGCCCTTAGCGTAGGCCACACCACCCACTAGCTACCGTTGTTTTGCTGCAGCCCTGAAATACAAGGCTTAGGCACGAAACGTGATTCAGGCTCCTCTTTTGAAAGCGTGGGTGGCTCTGAAAAGAGCCTTTGTGTTCTGAAAAAGTGACCTGTCCAAAACCGGAGTATTAGCCGCCGAAGCCGTAGAGAGTGCGTCCCTGGCGCTTCAAAGCATACACCACATCCATGGCTGTGACCGTTTTCCTCTTGGCGTGCTCCGTGTAGGTGACTGCATCACGGATCACGTTCTCCAGGAAGACTTTCAGCACACCGCGCGTCTCCTCGTAGATGAGACCCGAGATGCGTTTCACACCGCCACGACGAGCCAGGCGGCGGATGGCTGGCTTGGTGATGCCCTGGATGTTGTCGCGCAGCACTTTGCGGTGGCGCTTAGCGCCGCCCTTGCCGAGCCCCTTCCCGCCTTTGCCTCGACCAGACATACTCCTCACTCTTTTCAACTCAAGTGGTGTGTGGCGGGAGCAGGCGCCAGCGCGGCTGTATATTGCCAGGAGTCCGACCTGGTTGGAGACTGCGACGGGGCAGGGCAAGGGCGGGCTCTTCTCCCCGCCCTTCCCCCGGCGGACATCGACGTTCGCGCCATCGCCTCCGACAGGGGATGGGCGGTGCGATGCCGGTCTCTGCTGTGGCCCTGGGAGGCGGCCGACCCTGCTGCCGGCCGGCCTGGGCGCCGCGGGAGCAAACCCCCGGGAAGGGGACAAGCTCCGTCCCTGTGCGCACGGCCCAGCTTCCGGGCCCCGCCGCTGCGGTGCTCGGGGTCTTTGGGGGGAGCGGGGCCCGGGTCTGCAGCAAAATCCAGCCAATGGGGGCGGTAGGGCCGAGAGCGCCGCTTCCCGCCCGCGCGGTGCCGCACCGCCCAGCCCCGCCCGCGTTCCACCGCCGCCATTTCGCGGCGCCTAAACAAAGGAGATGGCGGGGGGGGGGGGGTGGTGGTTCTGGTGGAGACGGACGGGCAGGGTGTGTGGCGGCGCACAGGGGTGGTGAGCGTCGGTGCTGGGGTAAATTTAGCTTTTCATACTAAGAATTAGGCATCGTTATTAATCCTCCTTTTTCCCCGCTCTTGGTCATGATATTTTTTTGGGGGGGGAGGGGGGTGAAGTCATTTACACCTCCTGTATTCCTGTCTTAATGACCACACGCCTGTTTTGTGTTTATGGGGCTGAGGTGGTGATAAAGGAACTCCATTTGAGTGTCTTGTTAATATACCCATGTAAAAAATCGATTTTATTCCATGTGTTTTTATATGTGTGGCATGTGTTTGTTCATGTTTTTATGCTTTATTGATGTGTTATACCTCAAAGTTTTAATTTCACATTTTCTTTTTATTCTGCACATAAATTTTGTTTTTTGAACACATAACTGGGTGTTTTTATTAGCTGTAGTACTGTAGCTGCATTCATATGGAGGGCAAATCTTTTTAACATGTTGTGTTAGTCATCTTCAGGCATCATACGTGTCCGAACATTACTTATTTGGGGAATGCATAGCAATTTCCTCCCCCCGCCCCCTTCTTTTCATCTTGTGGGTTTTTCAGTACAGTTATTTCACGCTGCAGAAATGTGACCTGTATACTTATTGCTTCTCTAAGCAGTTATGATGCCTTCAGATAGCAGTGACACTCAAGAATTTACAAAGCTAGAAAAGCTGCAGCTATAGATATGAAGACATGCAACATGTAACAGGATTGTTCTTAATGTTTCAGTATCAACAACTGAAAGTCCTACAGTAGCTACCTATAACCTTTAAACTCGAATTCTCTAATGCGGTTATAATACATATCATGCACCATAATAATCACAATTGCTATACAGCTGTGCCTCATCATCAATATATTTGTAATTCTCTCTAATGCTATGTGCTCAGTGCCTTCTGTCGAAGCTGTATTGTTTTGTAACTTTTCCTGGGGCTTCTCCTTCGTTGTCTTCTCCATACACCATACAGAGTAATACACCAGTCTAAAGAGAAATGGTGTTCAGAAACCAATCTAAGTGTCCAACACTTATCCTACTACACTTATAAAATCTACCTTGTTGTCTCTGCTTGTTTGCTTTGGTTCATGTTTTTTGTTGGTTTGTTTCTCAGGAGCTTTTGACATTGGCAATGTGTACTCTGTAAGTCCAAGATTATACACAGGCTTCTGACTTTCCCTCATCAGCGAAGTTGTCCTCCAGCATGTCTGGCTAAAGAGGCTGTAGAAGGTGGATAGTTAAAGCCAAGATGCTATTCAGAAACATTTTTTTTCTTGAAGTCCATTTAGGTAATAAGAAAATAACAGAAAAGAGTTATCTTTCTGACCTGAGATTTCAGAATACAAAAGGCCATTTTCTAGGGAAAACTGCGCAGACCTCACCCAGGAGCTGTTGTGGCAGAATACTAGAAGCAGCTTTGCCTTTATGTCTTCCCAGTGCCACGTACGAACTTCCAGTTGGAGCAGTTACCTGAACAGAAGACAGCTGAGAGCCTGTAGCACAGTGTGTTCACCTGGCAGAGGTACACTAACCAGGGGAGAAAGAGGGAGTCCCACAGTTCATACTTGTTCATAATGTGCGACAGGCTGGTGACTCCTTCAAGTTCTAACATCCTTGAGTTGTTCTGGAACTGTTCTTGAAGCCTTTTCTCTGTTCCCTCCCATCAGACTTCTGTTTCCTGACTCTGAAGGATTATTTCTTTTGGTTGCTTCAAAGCTTTGGTCAGTCACTAGAAATTCTGTTGTTAATGAAGTGAGATAGATGATGGGTGGTGACTTGCTTTAATGAACATGGTTTTTTTTAGACTGCAGAGGGGAATATGAATGTGTAGATTCCTTTTTCATAAATCACAGAATCATTGAATGGTGTGGGTTGGAAAGGACCTTAAAATCATCCAGTTCCATGGGCAGGGATACCTCAACACTAGACCATGCCACCCAAGGCTCTGTCCAACCTGGACTTCAACACTGCCAGGGATGGAGCCTTTACCACTTCTTTGGGCAGCCTGTTCTAGTGCCTCACCACCCTCACAGTAAATAACTTCTTCCTTATATCTAACCTGAACTTCCCCTGTATAAGTTTGAACCCATCACCCCTTGTCCTGTTGCTACAGTCCATGATGAAGAGTCCCTCTCCAACATCCTTGTAGGCCCCCTTCAGATATTGGAATCTTGTAGAAACTCAGTTCATCTTTCTTCATTGGTTAGGCTTCCACAATCAGTTCTTTCCTAGAATTTGAGTCCCCTTTATAAATATCTTCTGACCCTCTTTTCACTCCTCTTCCCAATTCTTTTGCCTTCAGCACTCTCCAGTATCTGTTTGTGAAAGGGCAGCACATGCAGCCACATCGTTCCTACACCAGGAATTACTGTCCTTCAGTTATTATTCAGCTGTTTGGTTTGGGGGGGGGGGGTCGGGTCACTGGGGTTTTGCTGTTTGTTTGTTGTTTTTTTTTTTAACAGATTTCTTAGTTGTTCAGTTCACAGTAGCTGCCTTTCCTCAATGAAGGCTCTAACCTAAATTTCCTTCTATTCTGTAGCTGATGTTTACAAAACTTGTTAGATTCTCCAAGACGTGGATCAATTATAATTTTTGTTGGAGGTGATCAACAGACTTTAAAGGATTAACATGGTAAAGGGGGTATTTGCAGAAGCTACTTTTTTTTAGGGGGGAGGGTGGATTGCTTTGTTTTTAATGCCCTTGCTTTCTGGACCTATTCACTTTTTTGTGATTGCTGAGATCGCCTGGTGATACTCTACATTTTGTCTTCCAGAGCAGTGTAACAAGAGCAATAGTCTTCATCTGCTAGTGTGGAACCAAAACTGGCAATCCTACACACGTTGTTCTGGAGTGGAATGTCATGTTATGGAGCTTCACAAATGCTCACGAGAACACCCATTACCAGGCAGACGTGTTGTCAGCAAACTGCATTTCCAAATAATGTTTATGCCAAAAGAAAGCCATCAGGTTCACAGCATATGTGAGTGGTTAAATGTTTAAAGATGGGCCACTCTGGCTTCTTTTCTTGCTTCACTGAGAGAACTACTCTTCTTCACTTGAAAAGGCAGATAGAGCTCCCTCTAACCTTACCAGATTTTCTCCAAGCTGATGGAGCTGCTAAAGACATCTGTGGGGGAAGCAGGGCAAATGAAGGTGGATGAGCAATTATCCTATCCCTGATTTGATGAGAGGGAGCAGGGTTAGCATGCAGGAGGCAGATATTAAATCAGAGAGCTGCAGCATCATAAAGGCAGCATGAAGCAGCTCTTCCCACATGGGTAGCTGCTTTTGTTTCCCCAGTTTAGGTGTTAGCGCAGCAGAAGCATTTCCAAGCAAGCCTTATTGGGAAAGAGAAAGGCCCCGTCTTTTCCTCTCCTGGTTCTCTTCATCAGAGAGCACTGTTTTGGACATAAACTGGAAATCTTTGTGCATCCAGAATTTTGCCCAGCAGGCAGGATAAAACTAAAAAAAAACCACAAAACAAAACAAACCAGAAGCAAAACCCAGTCTGTAAGGTGACAGATCTTTTTATTGCTTGAACCAGTATCCAGACTCTCCCTGCTCTTATAAATCTCCTTAATTGATCAGTCAATTTTGTTGTGATTTTAGCAGTCTCATCTGCCGTAAAGTACTTACCTGTGCCAAATAGGCTTCCTGTATAGGACCATGCCATCCATCATATCGGATACCAAGAAGGTCTAGACTTTGAAAGGCCCATAGGAATTCCAAAAGGAAATAGCATTATTATGGCATTGGCTATTTGATACCATTTTATGCAGTCCTAGCTTAATTCAAGCACAAATTAACTTGATCTCATTGAAAGTGGCTTATAGAACTGTGATGTATTGATGAATGAATCTATAATTGTCATTTATAATGTGGCTGCATTTTAATAAAAAAAAACAAACAAAATCTAGCACATCAGAATTCCCAACGCCATGAAATAATTTTAGTAGATTTAAAATATGTATATTTTCCTCTTGCATAATGCAGTTAAAGTTGCAAAAAAGCAGCTTGAATTTCTGATTCACAATAAACTAAAATTAGAGTTTAAAATCCATAGTTAATGACTAGGATTATCTTGGTTTTGACTTAAAACACATTCATCCCATATGTGTTGCATCTCAAAAGAAATCCACATTCTTTCAAGTTACAAAGTAAATCACTTAAAGTCCTGACAGACAAGCCATACCCTGTGGACCAAAAAGAATTATTTTCCCACGCTATTAACAATGCTTAGTGTTCCGGATCCTCTGCATGCTTTTCTGGTTGTATTTTTGCCCTTTTAACTTGTGGTCATTACAAGCGCAACTTATTACACGAAGTATGCAGATATACCACTTCTTAAAGGGGAAAAAAAAAAACAACAACCAACCCAAAAGAGTATCGAAATCCCTTTTAAGTTTCTCTAAGGTGTTTTTTTCCAGGATGAAGTGCGAATAACCATGTCCCACACTGCTCGCGCAAAGCCGCAGAAGCAGCTGCCGCAAGAAGGGCGGGAGCCCGGGGAGAGGCGGGGCCAGGCAGCCGCTGCCGAGCTTCGCCACCAACCTTGAGATTGAAAGAGTTCATTGCGATTGGCTGGTAGGATCCGCACTATTAACCAATAACAGCGTGGTATTTAAAAAGGACAAATTGCAAAGCCGTTCCTAAGAGAGGTGACGCCACTTCAGCGGCTATCCAATAGAAGCGCTTATACCTGAAGCCAAATATTTGCATAAGGGACCTATAAATGTGGGAGTGCGCAGACTGCCGCTCATTCTGGTGTGTCGGAACAGCCCAGGAGTTATCGCTATGCCTGAGCCGGCTAAGTCTGCTCCTGCGCCTAAGAAGGGCTCCAAGAAAGCTGTCACCAAAACGCAGAAGAAAGGTGACAAGAAGCGCAAGAAGAGCCGCAAGGAGAGTTACTCTATTTACGTGTACAAGGTGCTGAAGCAGGTGCATCCTGACACTGGCATCTCGTCTAAGGCCATGGGTATCATGAACTCCTTCGTCAATGACATCTTCGAGCGCATAGCCGGTGAAGCCTCGCGCCTAGCGCACTACAACAAGCGCTCTACCATCACCTCTCGGGAGATTCAGACGGCTGTCCGGCTCCTGCTGCCGGGTGAGCTGGCCAAGCATGCAGTCTCCGAGGGCACCAAGGCTGTAACTAAATACACCAGCTCTAAGTAGAATATCACAAAGCAACAGTTTTAACCCAAAGGCTCTTTTAAGAGCCACCAATTTTTTCAAGTAGAAGGGCTGAGTTGCTGTTGTTTTCGGGGGGTGCATAAGTAACCTGATCATTTGTATGTCACCAGTGAAGTGCTTGGTTTTTCAGGTAACTGAAGCTATTTAATTTCTGACTGGAAGAATTTTGATTTGCAGACCGCATCTGGCATAAAGGATTGGCTGTTTAAAACTTGAGCACGCAATACTAGCTGCTTTTGAATGTTGGCTAAAAAGCAGCAGCAACTGTACCCCAGTGCTTTGGTAGCTCGGTCAGTTTCCAGAACTTAGGAGTCCCGTGAAAAAGGTAGGTGGGCTTTTATTTTCGAAGAGCTTGAATTCCTCTTGCTTAATATGTCCAGCAGAAAATTCTGTTGTTAAGAACTTGCACTATACCTGTAAAATAATAATTAAAAAACATTTCTGGATCTTTCAGTGAATAATAAGTCTTTTGAAAGCAAGTCTTCCAGGTGCGTTTGTAGCTTGGCTTCACTTTTCGTATGTTTTAAGTGCGGGTCCAATTCTCCCTCTCCACCCCACCCCAATACTCGCTTTTTCCAGTGAGGTAGCTGCCGTACTTGTGATTAAATAGGGTAAGATTTTTCTTTACGAAGGGTTTTCCGGTTTAAAACACCGATGTCCAAATGTGTGAAGGAGTTAATTCACTGTGAATCGCCGTGAAGCTGGGGTTGTCGGCGATGTGCAGGGACTTGGGATCAGACAGCTGCTCTCGAATGTCCCGCCGCACCGCTGTGAAAGTGCAGCTTTGCCCGCAGAAGCTGTGGGGTGAAAGCAGAACTGGAGCACTACGCACGCGTTTTCCCCACCCCCCCCAATCTGTGCCGTCTTGCCACAGAACCCCCAGGAAGGCGGCCCGTGAGGCGCCGCGCGTAACCGAGCATGGGGGAGTGCACCGGAGGCGTGCGTGTGGGGTCACCGCCCTAAGAGGCGGGGCTTGACGCCAAGGGGGCTTGGCCGAGTGGGCGAAAGGGACCAATCCTGTCCCCGCGCGGGACACTTAAGCCTCCCCCCGGCTACGCAGCGGAGGGACGCGAGCTAGGGCTGGCGCTGGCCTCGTTAAACTCCGGGAGGGCGGAGCGCTCGCCGGGCTCCTGAATTGCACGTAGGAAGCAGGACTTCAAGTTAGGTCTGGTCTCTCATGCAGGCTGCACAGACCGCCCGCGTTTCGGTAAACGGTAACTTTCTTAATCTAGTATAAATCCCTGCCAACCCCTTTTCGAGATTTGGTTATGCTGCTGCAATTACTGTAGTGTTCCAGCTCTTTTTAAGTAAAGGTGGGTGGCTCTTAAAAGAGCCTTTGGGTTTATTTAAATGAGTAGACTATAACTGCTTCTCAGTCTTTTTACTTCTTTTTGGGCGCCGCCTTCTTTGCCTTGGCAGCTTTGGGCTTGGCTGCTTTAGGTTTGGCTGCTTTGGGCTTCACCGCCTTGGTTTTAGCCGGGCTCTTTGCTGCCTTCTTAGGGCGACCTGCCTTAGCAGCCTTCTTAGGGCTCTTAGTAGCCTTCTTGGCAGCAGCAGCCACCGGCTTCTTCGCTTTCTTGGGACTTTTCTTCACTGCTGCAGTTTTTTTGGGCTTCTTGGCAGCGCTGGCAGGCTTCTTGGCTGCCGGCTTCTTGGGCTTGGCTGCCGGCTTTTTCTTAGTTGCTTTCTCCTTTGTCTCGCCTGGCTTCTTGTTGAGCTTAAAAGAACCAGAAGCACCGGTGCCCTTGGTCTGCACCAGGGTACCTTTGTTGACGAGGCTCTTCAACCCCAGCTTGATGCGGCTGTTGTTCTTCTCTACATCGTAGCCACCAGCGGCCAGCACCTTCTTGAGCGCGGCGAGGGAGAGCCCCTTGCGCTCCTTAGAGGCGGACACAGCCTTGGTGATCAGCTCGGTGACGCTGGGGCCCGCGGGCTTCCGGGCCTTGGAGCCGCCCGCCGCCTTCTTCGGCTTCTTGGCGGCGGCCTTAGCACCGGGAGCAGACACAGCGGGGGCGGCGACGGGCGCGGTCTCCGACATGGCTGCAGCCGTAGTCCGCGGATCAGGGGAAACCACTGGGCCTGAAGCGGGTCCGCGGCCTCGTATTTATAGGGAGGGGCTGCGCGGTGATTGGTGCTCTGCAGCGCCCGCCCCGCCGCCCGGCGGAACGCTCCCGTCTCCCCTCTCATTTTGTGTTTCTTAGGAGGCAAAAAAGACGGGTTTTATCCGAATTTCGGTCATGCACTCCCCCCGGTTCGCAGAGCCGTGGAAAAGAAAGACTGTTGTTCCCCTCGGCGAAGTTTCCCTTCGGAGAGGCAACGGGTGAGTTAAAAAAGAGGCGATAAACACCGAGTCCTGGACCCGGAGAGACCTCGGGAGGCAGAAACTTTTGGTTTTCCTACTAAATAAAAGCCGCGACGTGGTCACCTAAACCTCCAAAGTAATTAATTGTTATTCTTTAAAGGGTCTTCTCTTAATCTGAACTGAAAACAGGACACTTGAATGGATATTTTAAGCACAAATTGGTTTCTAAGAGGAGGAAGTAACACAGGTTCATCTTGAGCACTGAATATGGATTAGAAATTAGCTCCTTTGTCCCAAATCCTTTGCCCCTTTCAAAATAATTTAAATAAATCCAATTAGTGGATGATGCAGCAAGGCAAGAAGCAGGTGAAAGTTCGGTAAGGGGCTGTTTGTATCCTAGAAGAGAATGACTTTTTTACAGCATAGCAGCCTGAGCTGTCTTGCTTAGTGTGCACACAATGCAGGCACCATTCCCACATGCTCTGCTACTGAAATATTTATATTCTTAATAAATTATGTGACAGAAGAGCTTAACACGGACAGGTTTTGTTAATAATTATAATCAGCACCCTGTCACTTCATGATTTGGCAGTGTTTTTTTTTCTGACACAGCTTGATTAGTGAAAAATCTGAGTCAGCGTTATCTCAGGAGACACGACTGCAGCTGAGTGTCTCCCTGCTTCTGCACAACAAAACTAGCTCCCGTTATCGTCTTGGACTCCACTTTTGTAGCAGATTGTGAAATATTTGGTGGTTTTTTTTGGTTTTGTTTTTATTTTATACTTTTCAATGACAGATTCCTGCACTGGGAGTAATATGAAAACTAATATATATGCGTTGTGCTGAAAGAGCTGGCTGTGAGCAAGAGGGATAAGTCCTCCCCTGCATTTTACCAAGACCGCACGTAAACAGATTAAAACTAAAATTATTTTATTTTTCAAAGTACAGAGAATTGAAAGGAATATCCCCTGATATTTTCCTTTTTGCCTACAACCCTTTGTTTTGCCATAGGCCTGTAAACTGCTTGTTACTTCTTGGCATTGTGACTGTCAGTGGTACTAAAACGTTGCACGGTGGTATGATTAAAAAAAAAAAAAGTCTTTTCAAATCGATCATTATTAAAATGTGTTTGTTGATCTATAATCACCAATTTTCTGTTTCTACTTCAACATCTGTATGGTGGTGTTCAGCACTATAGGTAAGGTAGAATCAGAACTGGGAACAGTCCTTTTTACCTCAAATTGCCCATCATTCCTAAATCCACTCAGATTTCAGTTGCAGCAGCTCAGGCAGAGCTGTGAGAAAATTGTATGAAAAATTACTAATTCAGAATGCCTGTTAGTATGAAAAAAAGGACACATCTGTAGGTCAAAGGGTTGTTTAGAAGGAGCAAGGTGGCTTTTAGAGATGTTGATTACTTCAATTCCACACAGGCTCAGTAAAGGACAAGGCCTGGGGGGAAAAGGGGAAGCTGCAAATTCCTTGCAACATCAACTTTGGGACTTTGTCCCCCACGAGAACAATTCATTCCACATCTTATTTTTAGCATTGTGTTTACCAGCAATTAACATGTTCTATTTTACTGAAGTAACAGTACAGCAGGTTTTGTTCTGAATTGAAAAAATAAATTTTCAAGAACTTAAGATTTCACAAATTTGGGTGGTTTTGTTTGGTTGGGTTTTTTTGTGGGTTGTGTTTAGTTAGAATGTACAGCTCCTTTTATGAGACAGTGGGTGGCTCTAAAAAGAGCCTTTGTGTTAAACTTCTGAGGTGGAAGCCTTCCTCAGTTTTTACTTGCTCTTGGCCTTATGGCTGTCGGTCTTCTTGGGCAGCAGCACAGCCTGGATGTTGGGCAGCACACCACCCTGCGCGATCGTCACCTTGCCCAGCAGCTTGTTGAGCTCCTCGTCGTTGCGGATGGCGAGCTGCAAGTGTCGCGGGATAATGCGCGTTTTCTTGTTGTCGCGGGCCGCGTTGCCCGCCAGCTCCAGGATCTCGGCCGTCAGATACTCCAGCACAGCTGCCAGGTACACCGGAGCGCCAGCGCCCACCCGTTCCGCGTAGTTACCTTTCCGCAATAAACGGTGAACGCGGCCCACAGGGAACTGTAGGCCAGCCCGCGACGAGCGTGACTTGGCCTTAGCACGCGCCTTCCCGCCTTGTTTTCCACGCCCGGACATCGCTCTTGCCTCTCCTCCTCTGCTTCCGCTTAGAAATGACGTGAACACCCGTTCCTGCGGCCCCCCTTCCGCCCCCGGCCTCTTTTATACCTTCCACGCTCGCAGGGGCCTGCTTTCTCATTGGTTCCCACACGCTCTCTCTGGCTACTACCAATGGCGCTGCGGATCCAAATCCACCCAATCGGAGAGCGGTTCTCCCCGCCGCGTTACCCCCGCCCTACAGCAAATGCAGGGAGGGGATTGGGGGGGGGGCCCTGGAGGGGCGCTTCTGGAGTAGCGGCGGGGCGGGTCCAAGCCCCGGTTCCGCGTACTGCAGCCGCCTCTGACCCCTAGCAGTGACTCAGGAATTCATCTTACAGGGAAACGTGTGCCTGAGGAGCTGACCCCCAGGAACGGGGGGAGCCCCTTGCTAGTGCCATCGCTGTTGTCTTAGAACCCTCTATTTAGAACCTCAAAAATGCTACTACAGGATTATTTATTATCATGAAGAAATGCTTCTATCAGTAGGCACATTTGCAACCCAGTACTACTGATACCTGCAGAAACCAGGC